GAACAAGAGGCTGTGGGCATGGCAGATTTAGGAAGAATTGCCATGAAAATCGAGACATGAAATTGGGTTTAACAGGTTTCTCTCTCTAGAAAGCAGGCGTTTCTCTCACTAGGCAGTTACCCAGCAGAATTCTTCCGGTTATCTATGTCAAAATTATTTTAAATTTAAAATGTATGATTTATATTAATAAAATAAAATTTAATCATTATTTTCATAGTGTCATAACTCAATTTTAATTGGGGTTAAATAATAAAAGTAAAAGTCAGTGAACTATTTTTATAAAAGCATGAAACTTAAAGGGCTGAGGGGAAGAGATTGCAAAACTACGTCGTTTTGCTTAAAGGCTAAAAAAAGAAAAAAAGAAAAAGAAAAAGCGGGGGCTGGGTTCAGATGAACTCTAGCCCCTCACTTTCACGATTCTTTCTTCTTGCCGTAAGCCACTTTCCCAAATTCCCAAATTCTTTTGATTTATATACAAATCCACTCGAAGTTTAGATAGATCACAACAACACAAGAAGAGATTTTCGAATTTGAAACCCTAATATTTTAAAAGTATGAATCTAACCTTAAAAAAGAGAAGATGTGTAAAGAACTAAATTAATTTTAGAATTCTAAATTTTAATAGGACTAGATTATTATCTGTAATTTTAAGGATCGAGATAAGAATTTAAAATTAGAAATAGAAAAGGGTTTGGGTTCTCCCTGTTTCTGTATAAAAGGGGAATCTTCGGCTTTGAGAGGGACATTGGGTGGAAAATTGAGGGAGAAGGGGAGAAAATTGGCGAAGCTCAGAAGGAATATTGGAGAGACCGAGAGGGAGAAAGAGAGCAGAGAAGAAGAGGAAGTATAGCAACTTGTATTCGAAATTTCAAGGAATATAAAGTCTGATTTTTCTATAATTTTCAAGTGTGTTTTTTTTTTTTTTTTTGTGTTCTTTTTTTTCTGTCATATTCTTCCTTTCTTTGTAACTGGTAATTGCTTGGCTTCCCTTTTAAATTGTTTCTTTTTTGGTTTGTCTGCAATTGATCCAAAAAAGGGGTTTATTGGTTGTGTCCCTGCTGCAACATGATTTTACTTGCTTCCCCCACATTAGTTTTGTTTCCTATGATGCAAAATAATCACTGGCAAAATTTTCTTGTTTAGGAAAAGTTAACTTGATGTTATTCATGAGTGTTTTTTTTTAGGATCTGTTATTATGTAGTAATAGGAAAAAGGATTGGAAAAAGAAACTCTCGAAATATGAGGTGGGGTTTAGGCATTAGAAGGAAAAAAAAGAAACGAAAATAAAGTCGAGGAGAAGGAGTAAAAAAAAAAAAAGACAAGAAAAGAAAAGAAAAGAAAGAACAAAGAAAAAACAGAAGCGAAAAAAAAAAACAGAAACGAAAAAGGGATGGAAGCAGAAACTAAAAAAGAAGGAAGCAGAAATGAAGAAAAAAGAAAAACGGAAAAATGGGAAGACAATGGAGGACTGTACTTATTTATTTATTTATTATTTTTTAAGGGAATTTTTTGGGTAATTGTTATTGATAAAAATAAAAAT